CACAAAACCTTGCTAACTTCACTCCAACTTCAGTCCTTTGAAATGAGCTTATCTCATTTCCAATGCCAAAATGGGCTTTAACTTTAAACAAAAAAGGCATCAGCTTGCCAAATTTGGACATGACGTTTGACTGCAACTATTAAAGTGAGCAGAACCACCCAGGAGTGAACGAGCTGAAAAGAAAAACAGTTCCTTGCTCAGTCAGCTTTAAGATTCTCCATCAGAACTTCTACAGGCTGTAGAAGAACTGAAGGGCAAACACTTTTCCATGCACAACAGGAAAACACAACCTCTCAAAAGTCATTCAACTCCCATAAAATTAATTGTGAAATTTGAGAATTGCAGCAATTAAGCACAAAATTTGAGAAATGTTTTGCAACTTTTTATGCCAGAAGCCATAATTATGAGTTGACATTACATCAGGCTCATAACAAAACCAATAACCAACAATAAATTTTCCTAGTCATAACCATATCTAACCTTCTGCAAAATATGCAAACATTAAATAATATGACAGAAGTAGCACTTCAGAAAACCAATATAGTAATCAGAATTTTAGTAATACAGATTGAAAGTCAATACATGCACAGGCCATTTTGCAAACACAGAGCTTCAAACATAGGGTATAGACATGAGTTTTCAAAATTAAGGAAAGCAGCACTTCAATACCTTAATGTGACATCAGCATCTCATTCCATTCAATATACTCTCTAGATTTTTTTAAACACTTGTCATTATTTTATAAATGTCCCCAAATCCTCCTTCACATTTTTTTAAAAATTAAAAAGAAAACAAGAGAAAAAACTCAGTGCACAAATATCAGTTAAGATGAAAATCAAGCACATCCGTAATTAAACAACTTTTGAAAATAAAATATTTCAATTTTTAATTTAGAATTTTATGAAATAGTTCTGAAACATACCATTTCACTAAAAAAATTACTTTCTACTTATTGGCTTGTTAATTTAGAACAGATCCTTTATATGGGCTTTAAAAGGCACTAAGACACCTACTCTTCACTTCATAAGTAGGCAGCTTCTTGAAAAAAAATGAGGTTTAATTCTTCCCTTTCTGAAGTATTCATGGAACAAATTTACCACCTTTGAAAGTTATATAATATGGGGAGGAGAAAAAAAAAAAAAAAAAAAAGACATTCCTGGCTTACCAAATCTGCTTACAAAAAATTTAAAATTTTAAGAAAATCCTTATCAGTTTCAGTTTGCTACTCAGTATCTAAACAGCAAAGTCCCAGAGTTATGATAACCAAAAGTTTAGAATGAGAGGTCAGTTGACCTAAATCACTGCTTCAAAGCTTCTAAAAAGCCGGGGCAGGTAGGGAGAAGTTGTAGGAATGTCCTCCTTCACCTTCACTGCATTTCCAGCCTAGGAATTTCTAATGCCTGGGAGAGGGGTAAAGTACAAGAGCTCCACTCCTCCCTTCTTTGCCAGATGCATGAGAAGAATAACAGAGGTGCTTGTCATACCACTTAGGAAATGGAGAGAGGATTTCTCCCTTGCCAGGAAAAACTAAGGATACTGCTAATTTTTCAAACATCACTAACCAAAAGCTGATAAGAAAAGTTCACTAGGATCCAAATTATTCATCATTCCTGTTCCCTAACAATGGAATTAGGAAAAACTACAATCTGTATATAATCAGTCTTATTGCTTTGGGAACTCTTTAAAAATAAGTAGTATTTATTATAAAAAGATTTCCCATATACCCATGAGTTTTGAAATAGAAAACAGGCTGTGCAGTTTGGAACACTCTGACCTTTCACCTCTGGACAGCCAGTTTCAGTACATGCTGTTCCACATGTGTAAGTGATTTTCAGACTCTATTTAGCATCCCAGGCTGTTACTGTCTAAACTTCACAAACAGTGAAGTCCAATATAGTTTACTATGATATAGTCTAAGCTCTGAAGTAAGACAGGAGGTTTATGACCTAAAATGCAGACTCTGAAGTGTTTGAGAGTTTTTGTTTGTTTCTGCCTGTACCCGGGTTTATTCTGGTTCTGCAGCCTGAAACAGAGCGCTCCCCAAGTTTACAAAAGGATGAATTGGTTTTAAACGTTTGCTCCTTAAATTTTTTTCTTCAACTCTCATTCTGCCAAGTTTTCAGGAAAACAACATTTTCTTCCATCAAGGCAGGGACATACTGGGAGGAAAAATGGGAAAATGACATCCAAAAACATTCTGATGTGAGAGAAGAAGCTTGCCTTTTGCTAGCACTATGGAAAACAATGCCATGCCGTGGGCACAGGAGTTCGATTGTCCAAAGCTACAGAGGTGTCATGGTGTGCAATAACAGATTTGTGTACCATGCTACCATTCCAATGCCTAATTTGCAACCCCAGCTCCCAAATCTCAAGAAGTTAAGTGACATGAAGGAATTTGACACAGTTTCCTCCTTCCTTCAATTTCTGGGGGAGGAAAACAGTGGTTGTACTCTTTCAGATTGCACTGGATAGACAAATAACATTTGCACAAAAATCAAAAGACGTATCAGCCTTGAAAGCAAAAGTCTGCGTCAAACATTTGTGTAGTCATACTATAAACCAAAAAAATACATTATTCTGAGGTGGCCAGTTTATACATAAATTCATAGCTCACCCATTAAATTCAGAGGATGTATATTTGCAGGTAAAAAAAGTTGTAACACCAATAATCCTATAATAAAAACCAAGAAAATCTATTAAAAATATTTGTTTTCTTATATGCAAGCTTCAATGACACAAGGAATAAAAGAGGAAATGGTGCATTGCTTCATATTTACAAAAATCTATTTTCATAGTTACAACTATTATGAAAGAAAATATGATGCCAGACAAAAAAGAAAGAAAATGTTCTTTACTGAAAGGAATAAACTTTTGCCAAGTGGATAAAATTCTCTGGCTTCAATCCAGCTTAGCTGGTCATTTTGGTCTAGTATGTAAAAACAGAAGTGGTCTAGGGTAGATAAACCAAAAAAATATACTATGTAAATGAATGGACTTCCTTGAAAGCAGTCACTGAAAAGGAACAATGAAACAGCCTTATGTGATAAGCATCAAGTCAGTATCACCTTTCAAATCTTTTATTTTTCTTTCCTCTCTCTAATTACAAAGAGAGGAAAAAAAAAAAAGCTGAATCCGGGAAACATCAATAAAACTGGATCTAGCAATTGTTTCTCAGAGCAACAGCACCTTGGAGAGCAAGTCCTCCCTCCAGTAAACCATGCAGAAAAAAATATTATTCTGAGCAAGGGCTCAGATTCATATATGCATATGATTTCCACCGAAACTACCTAGAAACAAGTTAAACCTACCCTGCCCTTACATATATCTAGGAAGATTAGAAGGAACATGTGAGCAAATTTCAGTATAGTATAGAAACAGGAACAAACTTTACAGACACTTAAGCAATTCCAAACCTGGGTTTCTTAAAAAAATAAAAAATAAAAAATAAAAAAAATGAAAAATAAAAAAATGAAAAATAAAAAAATGAAAAATAAAAAAATAAAAAATAAAAAAACCCTCACCCAAAAGGTAAACCTGCATATTAAGATATAAATCAGTAACTTAAGAATAGGAATTTGGAAGGAATCTCTCCAGTGAACAAGTTATTATACAAGCATGATTTTTGACACCAGAAACTCAGAACCCAATTATACTGTTTGACCTGACACTGAAATTCTTATATTTCAAAATCATTTTCTATTGAAGTGCATTGCAGGATTTGCAGTCTCACTCTTTGAGACTGCCAGTGTTCAGAGAAAAAGAAAATGCAAATTGCACAGGAAAGAACTTTTTAAGTGAATACAACTAATATGTTATTTATTTCCAGCTACAAATCAAAACTACAAGATTCATTAGGAGGAGTGGGAAAAAAAAATACCAAATATGCAAGGTGTTTTCATTTAAAACAGATAATCATGGAAGAGAAGAAAAGGTAAGAAAGTGAAGTACTACTTGGTGAGAAGTTCTGACCTTGAATACACACAGTGTACTCTGTCAGGAGAAACTATAGAGTGGCAATATTTTGAAGGCGTATACTGAACCAATCTCAAAACTTTAGGACATACCAGAGTATATACACCACTCAGAAGGAATGACAGGATTTTTTTCCTCAACTTCAACATACACAAAAATATTTGAGCTACCAAGACTGATAGACCACTGACCTAAACACCTGCCTTATTTCTTTAAATGTGCCTATCTTCCTTCACATTCCTAATACAAGCTGTGACCCCACCAGCTGACTGTCACCCTGCAAGCTCTTTGTGATACAGATACCCTTTCTGATGGTTTACTTTCAAAGAGTCACTACTATGTGTTTCATTCTGATCAGGATGTGAATTATACTTTAATAATAGAGGATATCTTTGAAATATTCTTGACAAGAACACAGTTACAAAAACCTCTAATGAACACTGCTATCTAGTAGTGAGCCACAAGTAAAGGACAATTAACTTTAAAAAGCTAAGATTTCTACAAAGGAAAAAAGACATCATCACCTAATACCGCATTTCTCTTCCACAGTATGAGAAATATGTATGACATCAGTCCAGATTTTTCAAGGCATTAGGACTGGTGCATGCCATGGTCTCAAGTGACTATCTAAAAAATGCGGCTGAAGGGCTGGGAGGACTTTTTAATGCAATAAACTATTACATTACAAATAAGACAAGATGTGAAACAAGACCTTGAGAGGGAAATCTCCTTATTAGTATTTCTGTTTACATGAACCAGAGTCATGTACAAAATCAAGCACTGCATTGCATAGCTGAATCGAACACCAGTAACATAAACAGCGTGATATCAAGAGAGCAACAAGGTTGCTTTAAGAAGCCAGAAGGACGCTGCATCCTGAAGCTTACTGATTGTCAGGCTGAAGGGAACGCTAAAGTAGCAGATAAAGTTGATGCATTTGTTGTAAACTTTCCAGCATTCAAGCTTTACTTGTCTGAGTTTGATACTCCCCTCTGTGGGTGGAGAAGCCGAGGGACTGGCTGACGTCACCCAAAGAGTAGGGATAAAGTGCAGTGCCCACAGCTTTGGAATGAGTAAAACTTCTCAGGAGGTATAAAAGGTCGGCTGCCCTGTCTGGCAGGTGCTCTGCTGACAGCAGCCTTCCTGCTATAGCTCAACTCCTCACACGGACCCAAGCAAAAAAGAAGAGTAACCAAGGAAAATCTGTCCACAATGCCACAAAATGTTATTCTCCAAGGACCGTCACCCTGGGGATTCAGGCTCTCAGGAGGAATAGATTTTAACCAACCCTTAATCATAACCAGGGTATGTACTATTTCCATTTCTATTTATTCCATTTAATAGTTGCTGTCGATTTTTGTCTTTTACTTTTCTGGAGTTCAGAGACGCAGACAAAGCTGTGAGTAGATTAAAAAGTAGCTGCTAGTTCTGAGGAGAGACAGCTGAATACTAAGAGTTTTTACAAATTTTGTGTAATGTGTTTCTGTGATTGCTCTAAGAGACTTTAACTGCACTTCTGCTTAGGTCTCAAAATTAAATTCAAGTGCCTGCAGAAAAACTCTGGCATGATTTCCCAGGCTTTCAAAATAACATTTAAAGCTACTAAAAGCAAGACCTCACTTTTATGCTTTCCACAACTAGCCTCTCTGATCGCTGGGGGAGAAGACTGCTTGGCAGCAGCTCCTCATGCCTGGGACTTTGTGCTTTGCAGATTAATCTGACTCTTATCTAATTAAGCCAAGTTCTGTTTATTGCCAGCAAAGGGAACAATACCTGTTTTTATGTATCTAAAAGTTTTCACTTTCATGAATGTTAAATGAGTTATTAGAAAGTTATCCAGTCCTGCATATGAAAGAGAGTTATTTGGTGGGTTTTGCCATATTTAGAAACTAAGGGTTTACCTTACCCCCCTCCCCCAATAAATGGCAAGAATTTGAGCCTTCATTCTTTTTCATGGATTTTGAGATATTAGCTGCAATTCAAGAAATTAGTGACTCAACCAATGTAGCGTACAACACGCTGTCAGCTGCTCTGCATCTACACATGTGGATCTGCTCAGAAGACAGGATACATATTTTGAGGATTTCTATATTTTGAAAATTGTGTTCAATGCACATCAGGCTAGAATTCATTCTCCTTAGATTTCTGCTGCTTTTCAGGACCTTAAACACACCAAATAGGTGCTCCATGAGCCCCCAAAAGGCTATGCTTCGTTTTGTCTTTTTTTTTTTTTTTTTTTTTTTTTTTTTTTTTTTTTTTTTTTTTTTTTTGTTAAAAAAAAGTCTTACACTATGACTCATATATACACTATGCCTGGTTACTGAGTAAACGTCAAAAGCCTTGAAGGATGGATACTGCTAGTGATGTCTTGCAGTAAATGTGCTTCCAAACAAGAATCAGTAGAAAGTTTAAGGACCATCTTTTCACATATTAACTAGTAAAAATTCACTTAGTCATTCATTCCAGATTTATATAAAATTGGTATTCATAAAAGCATTTTTAAAATTATGTATTTTAAATAGAAGTAAAACAAAATGCTATTATTTGACTGAATATAGCTACATAACAAATACTCACAGAATATAGCAAAGCCTTTGGAGAAACAGGAGACAAAAACATTGAAATAAAAAAAGTATCTCTGGATGTTTTGGGGCCTTCATTGCCTTTTATGGGCCTCTAAAAGAAAAATAGTTTCCATTATCTCTAATGAAAAATATTTTAGCGGTGTCTGGTTTGTATTTTCTTTGTGTTTAGATTAAGTGCAATGAAGTTTAAAACTGCAATAACAAAGGATGTTACTATAAATATAACTTTCTAAAGAATAAATTACTTTGCAGTTGACTCATACCTACCAAGTGCCTCACAAGACATAAACCATTGGTTTCTGGCATATTACAGAAATGCTCAAAATCTCATTTCAAGTAGTACAATTAAATATATATATGTATATATACATGTAATATATAGGGGGGAAGGGCTATATTTGCTTAACTCAGGCTTAAGAATATTAACAGTAAATTTGTTTAAAGTTAATATTTTGTTGCCTCTGCATACAATTAGAAGAGTCCCTCAATTCATGCAATACCCCCTAAGAAATAGAGGGCATTTCAAAAGATACACCAGTCTTGCCTGTTGGGGCCTAGGTAATAGGGCCCTTTTGTAAAAATTATCATAAGCAGCCCATTCACACTAGGTTTAACTGTCCTGACAAGAAAAAACTAAATAATAAATTGAAATTATTTTAAAATATATTCTGAATAAAATAACTGAACAGGTGTTAAGATTGATTGGGTATGTCCTTGTTCAACAAGAGATAGCTTTTATCAGGACTTATCAAGAGAGACAGACGACATAAGAGATCATTATCCACCTGTCTGAGGAACAGATGTCCCTTCAAAAGCTCATGTGAAAATTGTTCTGTTGTTTTGACTGTTTCAAGCAATTGCAAAAACTACAGACCATGATCACTGGAGAGAGGAAGAACAGGAGGGGAAAAAAATCGATATATTCAAATTACAGTCAGAAACAATGAATTAACTACAAAGAGTGAAGACATTAAAATCCTTGGAACTTTGCATAGATGCAAAGTAATTGCATTAATGAAACTGATTACAGGAACAATTGAAACTTGTGCAGTTTGGAGAGAACGGTAAAATATTATCAACTCTAGGTTTAAGCTCTATTTTACTTTTATAGACCTTTACCAATAATGCAAGTATTCATATTAACTCAATTTTATGTTTAGCCACTCTCCACAGACATTCACAGCTCTCTTCAGAAAACACAGAGCCTGAGATATTTATGATGTGTAACCTGATAAGCTTTACAGGTCTATTATCAGATGCAGAGAGTTTTTCTTCAAAGTTTCATTGGAGACATTTGATCCTCATATTAGTCCACGACAACATCTGAATCAACAACACATATTTTTGTATTTATCCAAATCCAAGGTACCTAGGATACAGGAGTAACAGGCATACCATGCAGACATGGCCTGAAGAGCAAGGCAAAAATTTTCCCAAAGCAACACTAGAATCTACCTCATGAAGCCAGGGTGAGCAAGCAACAAACACTACAGTCACAACACAATTCTAAGAGTTCAAAATACACATTAGTGTGTCACTAGTAAGTCCTTAAGAAACAGTACCACTTACATTATTGAGGTACCCATAGTATCAATATCATACTCATGATATCTTGCACTGCACAAAGTGGTCTCTCTCTATAAAATGTAGTCTGCAGGGCAGGTGCATGCTCTGCACACAGACAGGCCTGGGCATGCAGAGCTCAGCACCCCCCATCAAGGTGTTAAGGCCCAAGAGTTACATCTCAGAAGCTTAGCAACAATCAATTCTGCCAAGGAATGGGAAATACAGACTCCTGTCCCTTTCCCTCCTTGCTCCCACCAAATGATGGTACCCTCATTCAAACATCTAAGTGGTATCACTGCAGCTGCTGACAACTTATAAAACCCAAGGGATTTAGCAGCAGCACAGAGCAGGGTATGTTCTGCTAGCAGCAGAGCTGCAGGGGAATGTACTGTGCTAGGCAGATACACTACTTTATAAGGCAGGATCATTATCTCGGGGCTTTGCTGCAGTATGTCACAGGTACAGCAGATGATTTGTTGTCACATGTAAAAAACATAACCTGCAGAGTAACCTCCATAAGGGTTATACAAGCTAAGTTACTCTTCAGAGGGAACCAAGAATGGTTGGTTTGCCCAGTTAGGTATTAAAGCATCAACAGTCACATTGGAACACGAGGAATTCTGCTGAAGTTCATATTGCAGACATATTCACAACATGCTAAGTCAAATCAGGAGCAATTCCAAGCAAGCAATTCCAAGGAGCAATTGAAGGAAGAAGAATGATCACACCTCTAACCCCTGCCTTATTATAGTGGTATAAGTGGTCTCAGTGTTGACCATTTACACTTGCAGCTGTTGAAGTTTGAGAAGCAAACAATTTTAGAGATTTCAGACTTAGAATTTATAAACAACTTCCTCGATTCATATTCAAACAGATTGTTCAGTCACCCAAACACTTTGTTAAAGCACATAATACACTAGTCCATTCTTTTGAAGGGTGAGAGTGTAAAAGTCTGCAGCTGGCCACAGGCACCCCTTTGGAAAGTTTGCCTGACTTGATAATAGCACAGGCATTATAGTTTGTTACAGTGTTATCAAAAATAAGTTCACATGTGGGAATGCAGAGAAAGATCTCACAAAACAATCTCTTTGATCATTCAGACTCACCTAATGGAGATGGAAAGAGGAGAGAACAACTCCCCTTCATTGCTTTTTGTCATTATTTCAATACTAATGCAGTGCAGCTCATATTTAAATAAATTTCTATTTGGCTTTTATGTTGACAGTAGTGTCCCCTTCAGAGAAAAGTCTGCCAGCTTCACCAAAGCCGGGGTTCAGAACATGCTGGAAGTATACTGGGCAGCTTACTCTCTTCCTTTGTGGAAAACTGTGAAACACCAGAGCTGAATAATGTGTCCACAGCATGTTTTCCAGTCAAGATACCACGTGCTTTTGCTGTAACAGAACCCCTAGTAAGAAAAATTCACTCCCACAGCTTTTTCATGTTATATATGCCACAGATGAAAGAACTGGCTTTGGAAATAAGACTATATTGACTTTTTCTTCCTTTACACGGGGATTCATTTACTTACAATTAGGCAGCTAATGTTACTTTGCATGACCCAACTCGTTCCTTCTGCTGTTCAAGAGCTGAATTTCAGAAGCTTGTGTGCTACGTGCATCAATTTAATGTTGCTGTCTAGGTAATAAAGAGCTGCCTAAAAGGGCAATGCACACATAAGGGACGGAAATCCCACTCAGTAACCTAAGACCTGTTGTGTATGTGGTATGTGTAAGTGTTGTGGTGGCAGGAGAAGTCATATCTTGCAAATAGAGGCCTGTCATTCTAGAACAAGCTTCAGTAACATCTAAGGTCATGGTGTCTCTATAATAGTTATTTTAAAGCAAAATTATGGTGTGTTTCAGTTATTTTTACAACCATACAGAAGTTTGTCAACCAACAAACAAACAAAAAAATCATAGAAAGAATAGAAAGATAAGCTTAGGCTATTTCTGTGAATATCAACAGATGGTGGTACAGGTACATAAGGTATGAAATAAATTGCACCACACAGACCACCATGAAGGATCAGTGCCACTGTTACTTAAATGCCATGGAACTTAAACCTAAGCACTTTAAGGAGTTCAGCAACAGAATTTCTTACCAATTCTTTTCTACCACTAGTGTTGTTAAGGGGAAAACATAATTTTTTTTCAAGCAAATTATATATATAATGGCAGTGGAGAAAGAAGATTTAAAGACGAGTTACAGTAATTACAGAAATCAGACAATTTCCATCTAATTTAGAGTTATGATGAATAAAACATTCATATGGTTTCCTGACAATAGAACTACAGAGCCTTTGGCAAAATACCTCCTCCATCCAACAGGAAATAGGGGAATGTGATGAAGTTCATTTTCTCTATCAATTTTTGGGCATGCATGGTGATTAAGCAGTTACATTTTGATCTTTTCAGATTACACCTGGAAGCAAGGCTTCAGCCGCCAACCTGTGTCCTGGTGATGTTATTATAGCTATTGATGGTCTAGGCACAGAGAACATGACACACAATGATGCCCAGGAGAGAATTAAAGCAGCTACACATCAGCTTTGTTTGAAAATAGAGAGGTACGTGCACATGTCTGCCTATTTCTGAAAGAAGACACTTCTCAATCAACAATACAATTATTATATGGTGTAACTATTTCAAATGGTTTAAGGAAGTTAAAATTACAAGCAACCACACCTACCTCCTAAACTCCAGATCAAGTAAGACTCCTCAGAACTCACCTTTGTAGGCACAAAAAGAACAGCTTCCTTCAGGTTATTCACACCATGATTCTGCTGACTGCACAAGTCCTCTGTTTACTATCAGTAAGCAAGCAGTTCTTCATGTTTTCGGGAAATAATAAAATCCTCATCTAGTGTCAGGTGTTCAGTGACCTCTGCTGTAACACTCCCTCAGCCACAGGTGCCTATCACTGTCTCCTTCTCCCAGTCACACAGAAAGCTGCTGCTGTATCATCCCAGCTAGGGAAAACAATATCATGTCACACTTTCATAAGGGGTGGCAAAAGAGTGAGTTTAAAGCCAATCAATCTCTTTGGTCACAACATATTAACCCGAATAAAGGAATCTCAAAGCAACGTTCAAAACTAAACTGAAAAACACTGTCTTACCTAAACTGCAGTAATCCAGGAACTTATGTGTTCACATCTCTCTACCAGAGTCGGGAAGAGAAACAACAGCAGCTTCTCATCTCCAGCTGACTTTGCTCAGCCTGTAATCAGAATCACTTGGCACTCTTTCAGTTGTCTCCAAAACTAAGACAGGATTGATTAATCTGAGGCTCTCACAGAGGCACAGCTCTTTATTGTAGCTGACTACAATATTTCTTTTAAAATACAAGTGTTTCTTTTTTTTTAAGGAGCATTGTAGAATTACTAGAACACACACCAGAGTTAAAAATTCCTTCTGTAAATTCATGGTTCTGCTACAGATTGATATATGCCATTTAACAACTATCTTGGGAAGCCAGTTTTAAGATGTGATAAATACAGATATAACAAGCAGCACCACATTAATATTTGACATTACTATTATGCTACTTTAAAATTAGCTGCCACATTTCACTTTATCAATGAAAACAGAACTGTAGCTTGTATTTTCATGTTTGTTACTTCTGCCTATGTGACTGAAAGAATCATCTGTGCAACTTCAATTTCCCCTTGAGTACTTTGCATACTTAGATTGCACTTCAACATTGAAAAGCAGGCTTGACATGGAAATTATGGTCCATAAAGAAAAAAAAATTATGTTTAGGATTATCATTAATATATTCAATTATTCATATAAAATATTTGGAGAATCTAACATTAATTTTAGCAACCAATAAAAAAATAAAACTAGAAAGTTTGGTCAGCTCGGGTCAGAAAGGCACTAATTTCCCTTTCGTTTTGCATTTGGTAACTACTAACAACCTATTTCCCATTGTTAATAGCATACTTTTTTTAAAGTAAATATATTTTATATATATTGGTTGCATATCATTGATGTATTTTTATGTCAAAAGACTAAAAAAGCATAGAAAGAATCTGCAGATTTACAAGCTGCATTATATCTTATAGGGACATACAAAAGTCTATAGGAATTCAAATTATTTAAATTCTGCCTTTCTTTCTTTCTTTCTAGGGCAGGAACTAAATTATGGTCCCCACAAGTTTCAGAAGATGGCAGAGCACATCCCTTCAAGATAAATTTGGAAGCTGAACCTCAGGTATGAACTGTGAAAAATTGCCTAAACATTTCCATTTGCCTTTTTAAACTCCAAATAACCTCTCTTGTGGTAGTTAAAATTCTTTAACTAGAATTTCATCCGTAATTGGCCAGTTTAAGCTCATATGAACCACCATAATTATGACATCCAGGAACACCATTTTATCTGACTCAATGTTTTTGATTTTTCAGCTATAATCAAAACAAAATATTAAGAAGCTACAACAAATTCTCATTTCTTCTTTAAGAGTCTACATATCACCATAGTTTTATGGAAATAAAATATGTCCTCTTATTCTGATACAGTTTAAGTTGCTTTAACTCTTTTAAAGATTCTTTGCCATATGAGGAAGTTCTTCAATCAGGAATAAATATCAAGTACCTAAGTGATTAATTCATGAGATCACAAAATTCATTTTGATGTAGTCAGTTAAACAGAGAGATCCCTAAATGCTGGATCTCTTTACCTCCAATCATTTTTTATACTATGCTACAGAACTGAAGTTTACATATTCACACAAGACCCATGTACTGGTCAATAAGCAAATCACTCACCACTTCTGACTAGGAAAGTCTTGATCGTTGTATATGACCAAAGCAAATCCCATCAATCGACAGCCATCTCTCTTTTCAAACTCAAAAAAAGAAAAAGCTACAATGAATCAAAGTCTTCATATTGCTACTAGAGGATTAGCTAGCTACTGCTAACTTTATTTCTTTGTCCTTTATTTCTTTGTCATTCCTCTTTAACCTACATAAACATTTGCTGTTATCTCAAGAGCAGGGAGGGAAAAATATTCTGCTGATCCTGGAAGGCGAGGTTCAAAGCAAATATGTCAAAGTATTTATTCTATGATATCCTAGGAAAAAAATTGTAAGTCTAGATTACATTTCAATAAACCCTGTGCAATAAATACTTCCACCAGTTCTGTTTTCATGGAGATGCTTCCAAACATGAGCACATTTCTGTGTTACATTTCTCTTCTTTCTGATCTAAAACTATTAAGTGATACAGCAAACTCCATCAGAAATAATATAGCCTCTTCAGCAGCAGGAATACTATAGTGAAGAACCAAAACTATTTTAAATCTATATTTTTGTTGAAGAGCTAGGATACACATTAAATGACTAGCAATGGAACAAATTCACTAAAATGCTATAGAGAAAACCATGCAGGCATGCATGACACAAGAGTAATCCCTCTGCATGAAAGCTGCATTCCTAAAAAGGACAGCTCCTTTAAAATAGATCACAAGATTTCACTAAGTGCTATTTGGCAGACTACTGAAAAGCAGCCTCCATTTGGCAATCAGAAAAACTGCTTCTCCTGGATTGAACAGCCAGCCTTTTCATTTTGTGTATCTCTTTTACATTCCTAGGAAGTTCAGGAGTACTGAGTATATTTAATAAATAGTAGGCACCGGAAAAGTAGCAATGCTTGCAAACAAATATACTAAACCGTTCCTGGAATGTTTTACATTTTAGATTAAATTCTTCCATCTGAGTATCCATTGCTCCCTGTGGAATAAAAATACATATAGCCTATTCTTCTACAATCGCTGGAATTTAAAATTAAATTTTATGGATATTTAGTCACAACACAATATACAGAAGCATGTATACCAATAGAGAAAACAGTAAAACGTTTCTTCAATCTCAGATGGCAAATTTTTGCACAACTACAACCTATGCTGCCCAAGTCTTATATGAGTTTGCTGACTCCTAAGAAAGTTAAGAGAAGTCAGTTATTTAAAATGTATTATAAGCCAACTAAACAACAGTAATAAATGACAATTTACACAGTCTTCTTAATAAGTATCTAATTCAAGTTTGAAAGCTAATAAAAGATAGTTACAAATGAATGAAAACCCTATTTTAAATTGTTCACCAATGTGGCCAAATGTTTGGCCAAAGAACACCTACTTTAGCTTCAATGAATGAAAATTATTCTACAGATGCATAGAGATGGTTATGTGAAACCTGGCAAACATTTAAATACCGTGCCTACGTACAGTTTTGGAACAAGGAACTTTCACATTGTAGCAAACTTTTGAATCTGCCTGAGAATTTCCCAGGAGCCATTTGGAGACTGATACAGGCAATTGTCAGAGGACAGTGAAAGCTCTTGCTAGTTTTAAATCTGGGAAGAGGAAACGGAGGCAACAACTCTAATTTACAGCAATAAGTGATTGACTGAAAGTCACTCTTGAAAGCTACACATTCTCACATAAATACAGCCACCCTGATTTTGATAGTCGGCATCAGCCTATAGTGTGATGGATAAATTACAGGAAATAGCAGACCACTTGAAGAATTACTAATACAATCACATTGTATTCTGAATAAAAGCAATTTAGAACATAAGGTTCTCAACAAATACGAGAAAACAAAATAATCTAAATGGTAAATTGTATTATAAAAATATTTTTACTGCTTTCTGCTATATTGTCAATATAAAAGAATACGAGTCATAAATGTTTTCTTTTACAATCCCTTTAACCTCATTGAAAATAATTTTGTATTCATTACCACAATTTTTTGAATTGTTTTTATTTGAACTTATCTTTCTTACTTCTATCTTTGCCCTTGAACATTTTGTTCAGTTAGACTAGACTTTTGGCCATGAAGAGATTATACATTCCTGGGAGATATATTATGCATGTAGATAAGTATAAAAATCTAAGAAAAACACAGCTCATTGTTCTAAGTAAGTTTATAGTCTATTGCCATTTATAATCAACTTTTAAAACAACATAATTGTGCTGGGCTAGTTTTGAGGACCTACCCTCTTTATAACAGCATTCAAAGATATAAAGATCTTAGTCACACGATACCTCCAAAATGTACACATTTGTGTTCTGTCACAGCAATTACCCCAAGGAATGACATCATATAGGCTGTGATGGATGCATTTCTGCAGGCTTTTAGTGCTACATTATTTCTATTCCTGATAGCTGTATCAATGCAAAAATGTAGCTAGCCCTGCCAAAAAAAAAAAAAAACAGTCAGTTGAAAAAAAAATAATTAAGTACTGTAATTCTCCAATATTCCTAATTAGAAATTTCAACATCTTCCAGTTCTCATTTAGCTTTTGAACTAAAAGAGGACTTTTCACAGATTCAATGATATCAAATAAACACAAGAGCTGGACTATGTTTGCTGTTGTATGTTCTGTCACTGACATTTTTATTAATAGATGAGTTATAAAGAAAGAATTTAAGTCTCACTAACTGCAAATACTTGTTTCACAACTGTTACATTGTAAAAATGCTGTTATGGTGCCACATCTTCTGTTCATTTCTCTATGAGAAATGAAATATGAGGATGAAATTACAATGTTCTCAGTTGGTTTTGTTCGTGATTTGAATCAATTTTAAATCCTTTGACATTAATATCTTTCATTAAGTAGCTTTGACCCTAAACTATTAGATTATTACCATTTACTAATACATTTTGATAACTGCAACTCCATTCTATTGGGCAAAATGAAGGAATTGCAAGTAAAACCTTTGCGCTCGTTTATCTGATTACTGCTTTCAGTAGCCTCTTAAAGTGCAATGCTGCTAAACATTTTCATTTAATAAAACTGCGTTTTACTCTTTGCATTTTCTGGTTGCATATTCTATATATCCATGACTTTTCTTTAGTCTCATCCTAAATATATTTTGGAAATTGTTGTATAACAATTGTACTCAAAACCAAACCCAAATTGGAGAACTGGAAAATATTTCTACAAAATAGAAGTATTAATGACCTGTCCTATCTTAACATTGCAAGTTCAAGTATCGAAAGAAAAGACCAATTTATGTTGTAGAAATCTATTTGTTAGAAAAGAAAGCTTTTTATTCCATATGGATGGAAGTCCAAATACTCTTGAGCACTGTTTCCAAAGAGTGCCACATGCCATCAGGACAAGGTGATGGACTGCAGCAGTTAATGTTCTTCACTCATTAGGGTAAAAAGAAAAAAACCCTTGGCAGATGACAACATTATTTTTTTTCAAAGTCTCTGTTTCTGAGGCTTAGGAGTGGACCTGAGCTGGAAGGGCCTCAAAGGACACTGTAATAAATACGCAGAATACAAATAAGTGAATTTCCATGCAGTCAAAAATCTTTATCATTCCTGGCCAACCACTACAGAAGGATATTTTAAGGTATCTGAAAGATTATCACAGATTTTATTTCCAGACCTTCTCCTTTTGAATTCCACAAACAGGAAATCATCCTGGTCAATGACAAAAATTGCATGGCAGAATACAGGCATATAGGCAGAATGATTTAAAATTTACCCATATCTGTGTTTTACTTATTTATGATGATTTCACATTAAATTATAGAGCAGTGAAATTTTTTATATGCTTTAAAAATTAAATACATTCAGAAGAATGTCCTCAATCTGATGCATAGTCAAGATTTTATTTCAGTTAAAAGAAGCATTAAAAAGTATATGCTTTTTAGGTAAGACACAATAAAATCATACTTTTGGATGTTCCTCTATCAGCCTGTGATGAAAATGAAGAAACTAGAGATTAGCACTAAAGCAAAGAAATTAAGATAAGCATACATGAAATGCTTTAAAAGAATAATGTAAATAGTGTCAAATCCAGTTACCAATATGAAAAGTCACTATAATATTCATCCCTCTCATTTCTTCTAAGCCTTCTGCTTGCCTGAAGGTGGGAAATTAATGTATATGACTCAAGTCATATATACAAAATTCATGGAAAAATAAAATATGCTTGCACCAGTTAAAAAATAAGAGTTGCAAAAGTAAAAATGCACTTATTAACAATACTGGTGTTGTCAGATTTACCCATTGCTAGCTTTGGTGTGCATTGTAGCTCTGTGTGTTTTGTCTGCCTATCATGTACAGGAATTCAAGCCTATTGGTACGGCTCACAACAGAAGGGCCCAGCCTTTTGTTGCAGCAGCAAATATTGATGACAAAAGACAGGTAGTGAGCTCCTCCTATAATTCTCCAATTGGGCTCTATTCATCTGGCAATATTCAAGACGCGCTTCACGGACAACTGAGGGGTCTCATTCCTAACTCATCACAAAAGTGAGTATTAGTATTTACTTGTGATACATGGTCATTTGTGGTGCATCATTATCTGTTCTGGTTTCAATTTAAAAGTCCAGCTCTTGCTGTTTTTTTCTGAGAATCAGGAGACTATTCATTATCCAAAAAAAAAAACAGTGATCAAGGAAACATTTTTTTTTTCCAAACACCAAGAACTATCCATTCAACTTTCCAGTAGCAATGCTGCAGGTAGCTAAAATTTGCCCTCTACGTTGGGCTGCAACACCACCCTCCAACCTTCTCTCCTGTAACTGCACTTTGAATGTTTCTGAACACTCCAGTGATTGTATTTTGAGCACCAGGCATGAACAAACTAAACATGGTTACTTCATGGTTAAAATTTGTTTCCACTGTTAGCTACATTTGAACTAGAAAGCATTATGAATGAAATGAGCATTTGTAGGCCAAAGAAAGCTATTTTATCTCTTTTTTCTTTACAGGATATCAACTACTTTGAACACAAGCATAATATTCGGCCCAAACCTTTCATAATCTCAGGCCGAAGCAGGTTATAAACTTTGAGTGCTGTGCTGGATTTGATGCATGGTGTTATTTTTTTAATGGACGGATACTCATCATTGACATTAATTAAGCATTCTGACCCATTTGAAATTTACTTACAGTACTAGACAGCCTAATGCTGAAATTAAAAGCAAACAAACAAAAATAATTAAATGGTTGACTTTCAGAGCTCAGGCTTGAAATTCAAATTTCTTTTTCCAAAAGAAAGTAGATCTATACTCCCATCTCAGTACTGATCAGAGTTTGAAGTAACTGCAGGCATGACTCAGTTTACAGCACGGCACCAGATATTCTACACTTACAGATCTCTGGCACTGTGAACTTCTTCTGACCAAACTCAGTATAATTTGTTAACATGCTAAATAAAAGATAGCTACATAGTGCATATATATTACATATTACATATAAATAAAAGATATTACATATAAATAAAAGATAGCCTACATATAAATAAAAGATAGCTAGAGAGCTAGAATCTAGGCCATTCAGAGATTTCAAATTTGCATTTCAGCAAACCTCTTTCCAGAGGGCAATCTACTGCTGAGGTAAAAGCAGGAAAACTGATGCCACAGATTTGTAAAGTTCCACTGCAGAAAATCTTATATATTTACACCCATCATTTTAGTATAATAAACCTCTATCTTAACTGGTGATGAAATTCCTCGCTACTGTTTTCATTATTACAGAGGAGACAAAGACAATGCAAACTCTGTGGCTAAAAGCACAAGGAGGCTAAAAAGGACCTGAGGGATGAAATATATTGTGATGTGATCCTTTATCCTTTCTAGCAGTAGCAGTTTTTGGGACCACTAGGTACCACACAAAGCTGGCTTTGGGACAGCTAGGTACCATTTTACAAGTGCCTACTAGATTTATGAAGAGTCAAATGAGTATCAAAAGCCCAATCTCACAATTCAGAAATTAAAATTAGACAGAATTTTCCATGAAAATTTTGAAGTAAATGGCCATTTACCAGCATATAAGATGAAGAAAATAAACTGCAAAAACTACCCCAACAGCAATGCAAGAAGTTAAAAAACTTCAGTTGGGCAAGGTCTGTCCAGAGTTCTAGCAGTGGGGAGGTCTGCACTTGCAAATTGCAGAATCTCTAACATAGGGTGTTACATCTACAAAACCTTGGTTGTCACAGTTTTTCTACTACTTTTTCATCTGTTTGCCTTAATCCACTGCTAAACGCAGCAAAAAAAACCCCCACCCCCTCAGCTCTAAATACCCCCTTAAGACAGACAGCAGAGGCTAAATAGGACTTCGAATAGAAGAAGACATGATTGTGGACTGTGGATTTGAGCTAATGGATTGGACATTGGATAGAATTTTGGACTGTGATGAAACTAACTGGAAATTGTATTTAATATATAACTACATGTTGTTTATTTTTTACCTATAATTTATTCTGTTTTAATATTATTTTGGCTTCACATAGCGAGAGCAAGAATTGTGCTTTTTCTAGTCTTTTCATGCTACGTTTCATTTACTAACACTACCAGCACTGACAAAACTTATTCTACTGCAGGATCTAAAGGTGACATTGTTTGTTCTAAAACAAAATACTGCAAATATGTATGTTGTCCTGTGTGAATTTTTTGTCTGGCTCATGCTTGGTGATGATGCACAATTGTATTTACATTAAGGCCTGTGTACCATTTCAGGAATGCTTTTGTTTGACTTGTCTTTGATGAAAAAAATGTATATTTCCCTTAAAACTTTGAGAAAGTGGTCCTACACAAATTCTGCTTTGAATCAAAGGGAGAATTTTGGGTTTTCTACTCCACCCAAGAGTAGCTATTGGGTAGAGTTCTGTACTATCAAACTGGGAAACAGAGCATTGTCCCAGATTTACACAGTTTGGAAAGAGCTACCCACAGCCCTGATATCAGGGTAGAGGACAGAGATGAAGCATTTATTGTCCTACAGCTCAGAATGTCACGTAAATGGTAACCAATGACTGTAGAAAGATTTGGTTATGAGCTGTTACACAGCAACAACAAAGAAATATCCCATAACAAAGAAAGCCTCTGAGGTACTATGCAGGCAAGATTAAAGTGTTCCTAACAATGATACTTCAGGTCTAATGTTCACAATCTTTTGCTAATCTTTTTCCATGTATGTTGAATTGGTGTACAGTTACTTCACTTCAGTAATGTCAAGCAACACTAATATTTTTTAAAAGTTTACGCCTTATTTTTTATATAGAAATTATGTGTAAAGTCTACTTCAAAAGCAGTAAAATTAATTCTCTGAATATGTACCCACTGTTCTTGTGAAGGACCACTTTATATTCTGCTGGAAAAACTGTACTTTAGAAAAGCAAAAGTAAGCCTGGGTGTTTTAGTAACTTTCCTTCTTTGCAATGATCAACAAAATTTAAAAAAAGATTGTTAAACTAGTTTTAAAAGATTAATAAATATCTTACTCTAGAATTTAAGGAAATCTAGGAAAAATAATATGCATTATTTTCCACTACTTCATAGTAGTTTTTTGGCAGTGTAGTGAGATGACTGTGAGGTACAGAACTGGAATAATGTGTCTAGGATTCTTCCAGTGCTGCAGGTGTTTATTCTGTCTCTGACATAGACAACTCACATAAACTTTGTCTGCTACCCTTTTTAAAGACGATAAGAATTACTCACTTAGAACAAATAACTTTAGGGAGGCTTAATTATTTCTGAATAAAGCATAGCATTAAAAATGTAAAATAATGTTATGTATTATTTATTCATATATATTTCATATATATATTATTTCATCTCTCAAAGGATTTTTACTATGTTTAAAGAAAATGCATGCCAGAATTTTAAGGACTGCTTTATAGCTGGCTTTGATATTTTTTATAGGAAAGCTATCACCAACGGCTACACATACTTTTGCTTTTCTCTGCTTTCTGTACTTTTGCTTTTTGGAGCTCGATCCATTTACGCTTTCCAGCCCTGTTAACATCACCGTCTCGCTGTCCTTTTGTCTTGGTTCTCCGGCATGCACTGCACACTGCACCCTTTCCTGCACCCTGGCCACGAACACGCAGCGGATGCAGCACTCCTTCGGGGCTGGACTGCGGCAGTGGGCGCAGCACCCCCTCCTCAATCAGCACGGTCAGCTCCATCTGCCCCACCGAGCTGAAAGCCGTGTCTAAGATGGCCCCTAATGTTCCCCTGGAGATGGAGCTCCCCGGGGTCAAGATCGTACACGCTCAGTTTAACACACCTATGCAGTTGTACTCAGATGACAATATCATGGAAACACTGCAAGGCCAAGTTTCTACAGCTCTGGGGGAAACACCTGTCATAAGGTAATTAGAGCAGCATCTCTAATATTTATGAATACACACATTTCAAATATACCAAAAAAGATATAAATATCACACCACTTCTACGAAAAAGGGGTAAAGGGTTAGAGAGACAGCAAGTAATTTCAAACCATTCAATATTTGCACTAAAATATTAGTCATTTCTGGGTTTTAACCCAAAGCATCGAAGGACTCCTTCAGAACATAAAAATAAGTATTTCATAGGTAATAATCTTAGAATTGCAAAATTGCTAATAAATAAAAAACTATGATATTACCTGGACTATTACCTGACTGACCACTCCAAATCAAGACTCTGATTCCCTCCAAAATGTGAAACTTTATATTACTATTATATTTATCTAATCATGATTTAATAATTCCCTCTTATTAATAATTCATTAAATAATAATAATAAATAAAATTTATTTCCACTGTTGAAATTCAGGTTACAAAGATTAGGAAATATTATGATGATTATAGTGTTCCAGATACTTGACTCCCATTCTAGACAACACATTCAGCACAGTTAGCTCTGGTACAAAACCAGACAGAATTTACTGTAGGCCTACAAATCCGTGCCTGACTTTTTTTTATTTATTCAGTGCACAACTAAAGTCAGGTATGTATATGGATAGCAATTATGATTATACACTAAAAAAGTTCTAAAGCACTATTAAATTTTTTCAGGAGACAATTCACCATTTAGGTTGCTTTACCTTAACCTTTGCATTATAGGAACCTATTTTCCTGTTTTACAACAGTACTTAAAGTTAATAATTCACAATATGTATGGTGTAAACTAAAGCTAATTACTAATATTTTAAATAAGCAATAATCACTGGCACCAATGAGCCTTCTTCAGCACCTTGCAGAATTTGGCTGCTACTAACAAAAAACCCCTGTATTTATATAAAAGTATTTAGGTTCATCCTACCTGATGAAAACTGTAGTTCATGAAGTCTTTTCAGAGTGAAGTTACTCTATTGCTTGAATATTTATGCTCAATCAGAACAATTAGAGAACAGTAAAAGAAAAATTTGCTGCTTCATTATTGTGAAATAATGGATTAAGCCCAAAGTAATCAGATTTCACACTGCCTGTGACATCACCAGTTTGAGAACCTACTCTCTCTATGCAGGTTTGAAATGTGTCTTGCTGTGGGTTGGTTTTCACCATGTATGCATTAAGATATGTAAGATTTGTGTCTGGGCTTTTTGCCTTCTGTATCTAATGGCATTATCACATGTTTTATATTTAGAGATATTTTAGTAAAGAGGAGAGAATTCAGAACTGTAAAAATTATGCTACTTCTATTCATCAAAAGCTTCTGACAAGAGAAACTGATAGTTTGGTAGTTTTTTCACCAGCTTAAAGATGGCTCAAAGAAATCTACTAATTGATGAAAATCAAAAAATTCACATAAGCAACAGGGATCACTGTCCAACTGCTGCTGCTCTTACTGGGCCATTTGGCACCTTGGATGCTACCCTGGGAAACAAAGCAAACCATTTAAAGCAAAACCCAGTCTAATCCTCTGTGGACAGTAAGAAGTCAGTTGCAACAGGAAATTTAAACTGGACATTTGTGTATGTAGCTGTAAAATAAAGACTTCATCAAAGAAAATTTGGATGTTTCTGATTACCCCCAGTAGGTGTATGAAATTTACAAATGCCAAATTCCTGTCAGTGCATATAGTCCTCAACTCTTCCTCTAGACTACTTAGGATGCCATTTGTCATGAACCATTTAAAATTTGCAGCAGAGTTTAAAGTGCCATGAAATAGTCTCAGTAAAATCTTTGTCTCACAGGTCATTTGAGATTCAACCATCAACTGCTGTTTGGTCAATAAATTACTTAATATTTTTAGCATAATATTGCCATTGCAAAAGAAAGCCTTGTCTTGTTTTTATTAAATTAAGAAATAGATCTTCAATTTTTCAGTATTCACCTTACAATGTTTCCTATTTTGCAATACTTATTTCACTCCTTTTTTAAAATCTCCATTAAATTTAAATCTCATAAATTGTTATGTAATAAATAACAATTACCTTAGCCAAATAATCACATTACCTAGTGATTGAGCTAACTTAGAAGTCATATTCTCCCTAAAGATTTGACTGGTTAGGTTTTGGCTGACCTTACGTAAAGGTATGAGCTGTGATTTTAACAACATTTTGAGGGTAGCTGTTGCAAAAAGGGAACTTCTGTATACCATAGCAAAGTATATAGAGCAGATGGTTACTGGAATGAAACTACTTTGAGATTAAACGGCCTTTTCTCAAATGTCAGTAGAGCCAAAACAGTAATTATACTGAATCCATTCAGTAATTATACTGAAATACGTTAATGAGTTTCTAGATTTATTTTTCTAACAATTGCACTGATTTAACAATTTTTAACAATTGCACTTCTAGATCAAAAGGAGCCTATATAAAGCAATGCTACCTGGAAAAAAGTTTCTCAATAGTTGTAGGAACCCATTGTCTTTATGTTTGTTTCCTGAATCATACTCTATGCCTGGTAGACATACTGCTTTAGAGTTACTTTTGATAAACTGTTTTTATCTGCTCTTCCTCCCTTTAACACAGTGACCCATCTCCCAACTCGGTGTCTCAGTCTGACGTGTACAAGATGCTGCACGCCAACCAGGAGGAGCCCAGTCAGCCGCGCCAGTCTGGCTCCTTTAAGGTGCTCCAGAATTTAGTCTCCGAGGAAGGTGGTTAATAACAACATATTCTACCTGTTCTAATAATTTTAAAATGCTTGTGGGAGGGGGGAATCCATGCAGAAAATAAGAAGGATTAGAGATACAAATCATTCCAGACATAGCTACCACACCAGATTCTTGCCATTTCCCCTGCTAGCTTGTATAGCAAGCAGTCTCCTCTCTCAATGCAGGTGCTGATCACATTTTCCAGAATCTCTTCTCAGATTTTAAGATCTTTCATATCCAAAGTTGACTTTAACTGAACAATAAAGTTTTATCTGTGAGAATTTTGGGGGACAATCTGCTTATCCTCATGACACTAAGAAAGAAAACACTCTTCCACATCCAGGAAAAGAGTAATTTAAACCAACTCCTGAAATCCCCTTAAAACCTATTTCCTCTTCATTCTAAAAAAACAACTGAAGAAGACAATATAATTTACAATCATATTTCCTTCAAATGAAGATGTTTTGAAAATAAAATTATTAAAGGCTGCAAGTTTGTTATATTTACAGTAAGCATAAAGAGCAAAACACAATCAAAATTAACCTAAAAAGTAATATTTTAAATTTTAATGTTTATATATCAATATTTACTGGAGAAGGAATAAAGACATCTAATTGTCTACATATATATATATTTGTGGGATTTTACTCAGCGTTTTCTTGTATTTTGCTATTACTTTGTATTCATATCATGTTACTAATCTTTCCAATTTGTTGTATGGTTAGTTATATAAATAAGAAGCTTTCTGACAATAGGTCATGATTATGTCATGTTTCTAAGTTAAAGCCCAATCCTCCTCCCTCTCTGCTATATCCAAGACCTACTCTCAGAGAATTAGGTGATGTCCATGAGGCAGAGAGCACTGCATATGCAATCTTTTTTGTATTTGCTTTTGGCTACAGCTTGCACGATATTTCTCCTGATTCCAAAGAGGTGGAATCTGGCCTACTAAACTTTTCTAGTGAAACTGCATTGTTTGTCCATGTAAGTGAAAGCCTGTAAATACATCCAGAAGTGTATGTACAATACAGAAAGTACAGAAAAGTGCAGAAAAGTACTTAATTGCATCAGATGCTTTTATATGAGCCCGTAGGTAACATGATTGTTTTGTTTCTCAGATGGGCGCCCTGTGGGAACAAGAAGTGTGAAAGCACCTGTAACAAAGATGCCTACTGCCATGCCTGGTGTCCAGAAAGTGCCACTGTGTGACAAATGTGGGAGTGGGATTCTGTAAGTTGTTTCTTTTTAGCTTTAGAAATCCCCAGCTCAAGCACACATCCTCCTCAAACACCACTGCAAACTACAGAAATGTGTTCCCATAATGTTACAAAAGACAGAGATATAAAAATATATTTTTCTAAATGTCAAATTGTAACCTCTACCTTCAACAATTTCTATACAGCTTTTATAAGTTTTGACAAAGCACCTTTGAGGTTTTAATTGAGATTTCTCGGGACCTTTTGCAATTCAACCATTAACAAACACATAATGAAACCAGCAGTTATTTATGCTGTGCTGTGCTGTCAGGCTGTGAATTCTCAAAAATTCCTTGCTAATGCAAAGCATCCTTCTCCCAACCCAGTGGGAGTATTCAGAAAGCTTTGTAGATCTATTTTAAAACTATCAGATTTCTACCTGATTGACATCACTAACTTCAGAAAATAACCCAGATAGTGATGAACTGAGAAAACACAGACATGAAGAAAAAGCAATGTGGTTTTGAAAGTCATTTTGTCACCCTTTTGATAGGTTAGGCTATGCTTTCTGTCTTGTAACCAGACTAACATGTTTCTTCAAACTCTTCACTTTCCAGTGCTCGTTAACTATTTGATCAACTCGACAGCATTTTATGTCACCTACTCAAACTCAGCATCCAACCTTAAATTATATAGTAGTATCTAAAAACACAAGATGAACAACTGTAAAGCCTTAAAACAAATACCTAGAACATACTTTGTATCACAGAATCATAGAATGATTTGAGTTGGGAGGGACATTAAAGATCATAGTTCTAAGCCCCTGCCATGGAGAGGGACACCTTCTAACAGACTGGGTTGCTGCAGTTTCTTTTCTCATTTTAAATCCATATGAATTAATCGGAGCTTTTTTTCTTTTTGTTGTTTCCATACAGAGGGACAGTGGTGAAGGCACGTGACAAGTACAGGCATCCAGAATGCTTCGTGTGCTCTGACTGCGACCTCAACCTGAAACAAAAAGGTTACTTCTTTGTGGAGGGACAGCTCTACTGTGAAGCTCACGCACGTGCCCGCATGAGGCCACCGGAGGGATACGAAACAGTCACGGTTTACCCAAAATGCTAGTCTTGGCTTAAATCACAATCACATGCATGCACACTAAAAGCCTTTTACCAGCTTAGAACCGCAGTACAAGTGTCAGGACTTCTGCCTAAATCCAAAGTAGCTTTTAAACCTTTCCCTGTGGGATTCTGAGAGAGGTGGAAGTCCTTATTAGCCAGCGATAGCACATTATACCAGCAAAATTCTGCTAAAATACTGTTTTTGAAACTGTCAATGTAACTCAAGGAAGTATAAACTAAAACAGCTCAATATAACTCAAGGAAGAATAAACAGCTCTCCTGGAATACAAAAACTGAAACAGCTGAGGTATTACATGAATAATGTAATATTGTAATAATGTAATGCTATAGCATTATGTACATATATATATATATATATATATATATGTGCTGTAAGCAAGACATTATTTTTAACATAAATTAAGTATTTGTGCAAACACCAACACCATCAAAGTCTTACAGGCTGGGCCACTATAAATGTAGAAACTTGACAGACCATTAGAAAAGCAGCTATTTTACATGTTTAGTACAAAACAAGCAATTGTTCAAGTCTGCTATTATTCAACTATGCCCCAAACATGTTTTGCTTACTTTGCTCTGAATTTGGGGTTATATATGCCTTAATTTTCTGATGCAGCAACTGTGATAAAAAATAAATGTCAAGTCACACAATAAAATGGTTATTATAATAAAGACTGGTTAGTATGAAGCAAAGCAAAAGTTCTACATTGTCTTAATGATTTTGAAATGGTATCAACTTTCACATCACTTTGCAGAAAGTTATTCTGAGGCATGCACACATATAAATTGTTTGTTTGTTTTTTCAAAAAAAAGAACCTCACAGTCTAGTAGGAATTAATTGTGAATTGAGAATGAAAGCAAATTTTAAAACTTTTCTGCAAAAAATTATACTGGATTTTTGTATCTCCATCTTTCAATTTCCATAATAGAAACAATGGGGAAATATCATCACAATATCTTTATTGCTGGTAAATTAAGCTTGGACAACTTTAAAAATAAGTGTTAATTAAAATATGCAAAGGCAAGATCTTTTATTAAAAATGCCTGGTGAAGTCCTTAGGAATAAAAAAACCAAAAAGCTGAAAGAATATGGGTCTGGAATCAATTTCTGAAACTTTTCAAGGACTACATTGCTTTCTGGTAGGTGCCAGCTACATAAACACACCTAACTGGCAAACCATACTTAACACTTTCAGAAAGTATCAAAACAAGTAATAAATTCTTTATTTGCGTATTTTGAACCTGCCCTAAAGAAGAAAAATCTACAAAATTTTATATCAAATCCACAAGACTAGCAAAAAAAAAAACAACCCAGTGACAAAAAATCTTATCTACTTTTCCCATTCTATAATATAAGAAGCATATAATGCAAGTAGCATATGGAATCAAAATAAATTATACATACTTTAAATTTATTTTAAAAATTCACAAGTCCCAAAGATCACGTATTCAAAGACTTTTCAAAATGTCTTAAAATATTATTTCAGAACTCAAAAGTTTTAAAAATACGCGTGTAACTCCATTTATTACTTACATTTCCAAATCAAAAGAAGCAATTAAAAAAAGAAGTGCTGAACCCTTTACAAGGTTAGTTCCTAAATTATTTTTGGGCACAAAACATAATTCTGCTTCTCAGGTATCATGGAGGAAATGTGTAGTATTAATATTTTTCCATTGATAAAGCTTATAAATCTGAAAATCCTTTTGAAGACAAGGGTGTGCATAACGTCTATTTTTACAAACTTAAAATGTCATTGGTGTTTTAAAATATTTGTTTAATGTTTATGTCTTTGTGAAGTAATTAAAACTAAAAATAAATCTACTACACATGATAAATACTCTGTGTTTCTTTTCATCTGCTATGGAAAATGAGGAAGTGTGAGTGTCAAGTGACTTGACAACAACAGAGGTTTGGATTTCAATCTGAGAAAGCAGCATGCTTCGGATAGATCAAATCCCTGACAGGAATGAAAAACAATTTTTGTATTAGGCATTTGACTACACATCCAGGGCTTTCTAAAACAGAATGAGATCATGTGCTTTCCACACTAAAGACTCAAAACTGCTCTCTTTAACACACTAAACATTCCAATTGTAAAAGTGGGGGAACTCTTGGAAATGCAGATACAAGAAGTGTTAGGAAATCATAGAACATGACCTGATTCTAAAACTCTGGGGTAAGTTCAGTGGTATTGCATCATCATGTAATGCTCTTTTGGGAGGTTTGAAGTTTGGATGTGGCTTTGATAGAACCACAAGGTAAGCCTATCTAATTGCAGGTACTGACCTATATGAAAACCTGTACAACTATATAGCATCAAGTAAACTACGATTTCAGGTAATGCAGATTCTGAAATCTCTGATCCTGATAGAGGAGAAAAATAGGAAATCTCATCCTACAGTCACTTCAGTCTGGGAGAACTGAATATAGTTTTAAATGTGAGAAAAGATACACCAGTTCCCTCTATTGCATCCTCAAAGTTGAATTCTTTATCTCTGTAGGATGTCACTGGATCCTGGTGCACAAGGTGTCCGCCTAAAGACCTACCAACTTTATCTTCTCGCTTCAGAATAGTGCAGCCAGTCAATCATGATAGCAGATAACTTAGTGCTACTGTGCCTCTCAGCTGTGCCTACACTCTTATATATACTACAAGCCAAAGGCAGGCACAGCATTTATTTTTAGCTGGACAAAAAGGTAGGAAGTGTGACCTCACATGCTTTTCATCTCAACTCTTCAGATATTGATCAACAAGTGTGGAATGCTTTCCCTAGCTACGCTACTGCTGCATAAACAGCAGGGCTGTTCTGGGAGATGTTAAAAACTTATAAGAAACTGCAATACTCCAAATGAGGAAGCCAAGAATTACTTCTGAAAATACATAAATTAATTTATATGTTACTTTTGAATCAATTCTTCCAAGACAAATGCTTTTAGTGTTTTATGTAATGCAGTGTTGCCAAAAATCTGAAATCTCAGAAAGTACTCTAAAGTAGCTAAAAGAAATTGTGTTGTTTCCATCAACTAAATAGCTTCCTTAATTTTTTCAACTATATTTCATAACCTAAAAAAATAAGACTAGCAGTTTTGTTCAGATCAGAAGTGGGCTATTGAATGTAAACACCCCACTGTTCCCACTGACTGCATTTTGGCTCACATCACACAACTTCAGGTGCACAAAGTGGTTTCCTTCAGGATGAAATTCAACCAGAAGTTATGATCAGGAAGCACTGCTAATGCACACCAACCACTAATGGGAACTCAATCCATAGAATAAAACTAGAGCTGAATAGACCATGCCTGAAACATGTCTTAAGGTAAATGCCTCAATACCAACTGATCTGCTCCTACTGCATCTCGCTGCCTTTTGAAACACACCTAGTTTTAAGAATTGTTTGCAAGTCTCATAGGGGAAAGGCTCCTAAACAGAAATTAAATTACTGACTGCTCATCCACTCTCAGAAATTGGACCTGATTTCAGATGTTTTAAAGCTCACAGCTTTTGATCAAGACTTCTGGTTCAAATTTCTATAAACCATATCAAAAAGAATAACTGTTCGGCTGATTATAGGTCTGACTTGCTTGTAAAACACATATGCTCGATTTAAACTCCATTTTAGGGGTCTTTTTCACAAGGACAAGACCAATTCTTTCCTAGTGGGTTCATATATTTATAAACGAAATTGTGAGAAATAAAACATTTGCTGGCATGTATCCAGCAAATTTTCTCTCTGAAGGCAACCATACCCTGCAGATTTACCCATTTCTCTTTCTCTTTTTTCCACCTGTCATCCAAGCAAGCTTATTCAGATAGCTTCTTTGAAACTGTTAACAAAAAATCTCCACAAACAGATTATTCTGTTTTTCTAAGTTCATGAAGTTTTGAAATAAAATGCAAGTCTTCAGTTTATGATCAGTGCCATCAACCAAAATCTTTGCCTCCACAGCATATGCTGAATAAAAAATGTTATCTACACAATGAGTTCAGAAAAGATTTTGTTTCCATATATGGTAAAGCACACGTTTGTTTTAGAGTTCTCTCTGAGTGTTTTTAGTTACACACACTCTACTTAATCCTCCCTCTCTGCACACCAGAGCAGTAAAAGCTTTTAGGAGAGTCTTGAAAGATTTTATATTATATTACTGTGGAAAGAAATGCTCTCTTTGGCAGAGGAGAGGACAATTGTCCAAAATAAATCTTTAAACAAATACTGTTTTATACAGAGGAGACAAAATCACAGCTGTGGTAGAGTTACAAATCACAAAACACCAAAACTGTAGAATAGTTAAAGATTATTACATTTACTCAGAAAACAAAACATTCCTTAAATACCAACAGGATTCTGAGAGGAAAAATCTCTTGCAAGGTTTTCACAATTTTTTCTTTTCATGTTACTGTTAAAAAACAGATTTATAGAGATTACTCATTCTCCACATAATTATTTTTGAAAATAGTATATTCTTGATTTGAGAAGTTTTTAATTACCCTGTAAAAACAGGAGTTTATAAAAAGTTAGATATTAATTAGATATCCAAGGAGATATGACTGGAATAATATCTTCAATTGCAACAACAACAAAAAAGAGAAAAACAATGGTTAATACATGCAGACAATTGTCTCTACACATTCAGGCCAGAACCAGGTTTCTGTATTACAACAAAAAGCAATGTTCTGATTTTATGCAAAACCTGTAGAGTGTCAGTAGCACCACTTTACACTCCCACAACAAAGCACAGAAATATCCAGTTCATTCGCAATGAGAAACGAATCTGAGTTTCCCAGCACCAGCTTTGCAGGGTAATTATGAGGTGCTCACAGGCTGTGCACAGAAAGCACAGGAATAGGCAATTTTCTGTGAGGAAGAGTAAATCCCAAAGAGAATGTATGATTGCACAAATGACAATCAGTCTTTCACTCTACTTACAGACAAAAGATCCTTTCCATATATTGACTATTCCATTTGTGTAGAGGTAATTCAATGCATTATTAATACATGAATGCTATTTAATAATCAGGTTTCTGAATGAAGTTAATTATAATTGGCAGTGTCACAAATAATTCTCACCGCTGCTTTTCTTTGTGCAGTTTAGATTTCTAACATTTTTACTTTCATATTTTGCACATTTAAGAAAGTTGGGAGTGGAATAAAACTGCCAAATATGAGACACTTAACTATGACACTTTTATTCTGGCTTTCTAGTATTTGCCATGAATTGCATCCCTTTCTGCTGTTTTACTGTTGCAAATTCTCTCAATTTCACTTTAATTTTACTGCAAGAATATCCCTATAT